GATATTCAAAAATATTTTTAAAATTATTAAATATTATCTTATATTAATTTTTAAAATTATTAAATATTATCTAATATTAATTTTTAAAATTATTAAATATTTAAAAATGAATTAATATTTATTTTTATAAAATTTAATTTAAAAATCTCAACATATAAATATTTTTAAAATCAATTTTACTATGATGAAATTAAATTATCATATTCAACCTAACAATTTAAAATTTAAGAAATTTGAATTGACTCATCCAAACAAAATATTTAAAGAATGATAGAAATTGAAATCAAAGTAATTCAAATACCAAGAATTTAAAATTCCTTGAATTTGTAAAATTCCTCATCCAAACACACTATAAGTGTTGGTATGCAAATGTGAATGAGATAGAGATAGATATGTTCAGTAAAATATAAGAGGGGAAGATTCACAGACTAGATGCTTTAAGGTTTTAAGTTAAGATGTGGTATTAAGTTCATTTGTGTTGATGTGTTTAATTCTCATATTGCTCACACCAAGGATATCTATCATATGATTTTAGTTGGCTTGTATTTTGGAGAACAAGAAAAACAAGTTGGTATTGCTTATACTATAATCATACATATGATCTAACACATCATAAATCATGTCTATTACCCTTACCATTGTTTGTTCTCGTTGGAAGTACAAACAAAGTATCACATTGTTAGAATATGAGGAACACGGATTTACAAACACACAAATGTCTCAATTGGTACAAGGTTTTTTGAGTAATTACTAAGAGTATATGTATTAGGATTTAAGATGAAAGTAGACAATATCATATTAATATAGAGACATGTGCATGAATCCTTGTATGCATAACACATAGTATTAGAGTCTGTGGTTCAACTTGGTAACTGGCTTGAATTAGTATGATTGAAATGGAATTGAATCTTGGTACATGATCCCTTATATAAAAAATCTGACTGATTGTTGTTGGATCTTGGCATAAGATCTTTTGTATCAAATGTCTTCCTGACAGTTAGTTCATATATGGAGATCAAAAAGTCTTCTTGGTAACATGGAGGTCAAGTAGTTTGTCCCATTGTCGTAAGCTAACAAAAGAATGTCAGTGCAAATATCTATGGCCTCCACTAAAAGGGGAGGACAAATCATGATCCTTTTGTTTGAGGGGAAGATTGTTGGTGGTACAAACAAAGTTTCATATTGTTAGAAGAAGAGAAGGAAGATGAGTTTGCAAACACACAATTTCTCCATTATCTTTTGGGTAATTATCAAAAACAAATATGAGGATTTAAGCTCAAAGTAGATAATATCATAACAATGTAGAAACATGTGTGAACTCTCATATACACAACAAGAGCTGTGTATGTACTATATTTATTATTATTATTATTTATTATAAGGGAAGTTATGCATGAAATGCATGAGCGAATAGGGGTTTCTTATAGATGTTAATGTTTCATCTCAACATGTGACATAGATATTAATGGGGTTATTTTATGATATTTGTCTGAGATGATATTTTATAAGAGTTATTTTTTATCAGAAGAGCATAATCTAATTTTATTCATGAGGTCTCTATTTATAGAAATTTTTTTTTATACAAAATCAAATATTGATATTATCTTATTCTAAAATGAGGAAACAAATCTTAAAATAATCAAAACAAATTAAATCTAAATATTTGAAATATAAATAAAATATTCTTATAAAAAACTAATTTATTCTCCTAAACATATTTAGGCATATTTTCAACGTTCCTCCTTGACTGAATATCTTTATCACCTAATTTAAATTTGAATTTCAAAATCTGACTTTTCTCTTTTTGATTGGTTTCTTCTTTTTGTGATTTTTGTTGTAATCCTTCTTGACTGAGACCACTTTAACATTTATCTCGAACTTCTCTTTTGAAGGTGATTTTTCATCATCTTCATTCTCCTCTTGATCATCAAACATCTTTTGAAGACATGTATCTTTGTGCTTTTCACTTGTATCTTCATTTATAATTGGCTCCTCCTTCTCCAAATTTAAAATAAAACTCCTTCCTTTTATATGAACATTGAACACTTCTTTGTTGTTTACATCTTTAATCGCACAATTATTATTTTCAAATAATACTTTATAGCCTTTTCCTAACAACTAAATAACACTCAATAAATTTTGATTAATATCCAGAACGTATAAAACATCGGATATTAATTTCAAACCTGAATGACTTTTAATAACCAGTGTTCCTTTGCCTTTTACTGTAAGGTGTGCTCCATTTCCCATTTAGACTTTAGAGATATCAGTTTTGTTGAGTTCTTTGAAGAGTTCTCGATCATAAGTCATATGGTTTGTACAACCATTATCAATAATCCAAACTTTTGAGGGTTTTTTGTTCATAAAGCATGACATTGGAAGTAGTTGTTCTTCTTCCTCTTCTTGTTGATCTTCAACAATGTTGGCTTCTTCTTGTTGCTCATGAGATTGCATACATATTTTAGGTGTCCTAATTGTTCGCACTTGTCACATTTTGAATCAGGTCTCCACCAACAACATCTCTGTTGTGGATGATTAGTCTTTTTGCAATAAAGACATGGTGGAAAAATTTTAGTGCTATTATTTTGACTGTTTTCTTGGAACAATTCCTTCTTGTTTTTTCCACCATTGTTGCTCCTCCATTAGGCTAAATATACACCCTCCATAAATCCTTCTTCTCTCATAAGCCTCATTTGTTTTAATTCTTGCAATGCATGTAACACTTCTGCCAAAGTGATCTTACTCAGATCCTTTGTGTTCTCCAAGGCCACTATTGAAGCTTCATATCTTTTAGGTAGTTACTATAATTTTTTCAACAATTCTAGAATCAAGAAATTGTGTTCCTAGTAACCATACCTTATAAGCAATGCTAAGTAATTTGTCTGAGTATTGTTTGACTGTCTCAATCTCCTTCATTCTTTGTATCTCAAATTCTCTTATTAAATTTAATATTTGCATGTTTCAAATCCTTTCATCTCCAACATATTCTTCCTTTAGATAATCTCAAATTGCTTTTGCCGATTTGAGAGTCATGATCATGGTGAAAAACATTTTGTGAAACACAGGCAAAGAGACAACTTTTTGCCTTTGTCTTCTTGATCTTCTTTTCCTTGTGAATTTTCATTTGGGCTACAGTAGGATTGTCTGCCAACTTGGAAACATCATAATCTTCTTCTACGGCTTCCCAGAGATGTAAAGCTTCTAGGTATGCCTCCATTCTCACTGTCCAAAGATCATAACTTTCTCCATCAAAAATAGGTGGGGAAACTTGTGAAAAGTTTGTTTCTGCTTCCATCTCCACAAGTCATAACCTTAGCTCTAGATACCAATGATGGGGTTATTTTATGATATTTTTCTGAGAGAATATTTTATATGTTATTTTTTATCAGAGGAGCATAATTTAATTTTATTCATGAAGTCTCTATTTATAGAGAAAATTTGTTATACAAAATCAAATATTTATATTATCCTATTCTAAAAATAAGGAAACAAATCCTAAAATAATCAAAATAGATTAAATCTAAATATTTAAAATATAAATAAAATATTCTTATAAAAAACTAATTTATTCTCCTAAAGATATTTAGCCATATTTCCAACAGATATAGAAAGTTTATTTATATTATTTGTGTCTTCCCTTAGTATAGTAGATACTTTTTGCAATTTTGCTAGTATTTTTGCTTAAAGTTCTTGAAATTTGTTACCGGCTTTCAGGAGATAAACTAGTTGGAGAGGCCAGCAGAATTGTGGTTGCTGAAGCTTGCGTGCAAGCACTAGATCTCGAAGTCACTGAAAACCAAGTATATGAAGTTAACTCTGTTGAGGTAAAGTTTCAGTGGTAATTTTGGTATTAGCTATATACAATTGATGTCTCATAATCACATGATTGAATCGCCTCTGTTTTTGAATGTTATGTTGATAGCTGAAAAAGAAATGGTAGTTGATGCCTCTACTTAATGGATTTTCAGCCATCTAGCAATGGAAAATACGTCACCTCACCGAAAATATTTTCCTTTGGTGGCAATGCCATATTTTCCAAAACAATTTAGCAGCAAATATAACATAGTGTTTAATATATCCAAAAGTTATTAATAAAATGGGTTTCAAATTTTCAATTTGGACATAATAGCATACATTAATACAACTGAATAGGACTCAAGAAAGCACAGTTTAGTTTGGTCAGATTACTCAGATGATTTTCAATGTCTGTTGACAAAAAAAAAATGTTCAATTTTTATATTTACCAGTAGGGAAGAGTTACTTCATGCTTTTATGTGTTTTTATTTAAATAAAAAATAAAAAAGAAAATAAAAATGATGTGAGTGGTAAATGAGTGTAGAGATTAACTGTCGATGAGAGACTGTGTAAAAATGCAAAAAAAAAAGTTAAAATAAATAAGGACATTTAAGGGTAAAATAGTCTTAATGAAGTGAAGAATAAAAAGAACTTATGGTTGAATGTATCATTTTTATCCATTGATATAGATTTACTATGCTTGAAGCATTAACATCTGCACTTTGCCTAATTTTGATACTTCTAATAAATTTAGTAATATCACTTATAAATCAAAATTTAAATTGAAAATGAAAATTTTTGTGACATCTTTTTACTCTGAATAATTAAATGCAGAATTCAATATGTAATAAATTTTAAAACCAAAAGTATGTTTAATATAAAGTTTCTTAGACATCAATTCTCAGTAAGAGGGTTCACAAATCTTTTCTACAACTTACTCTAAATAATGGGTAAAATTAAAACAAGGTACAAATTGCCTATTTAAAAAATCTCTGATATGAAACATGATTAATTAAAACTTGAATTATTCCAAATAAAATACTAAAGCTATAAATCTTCGCCTCAATATCATACTAATTAGAGCAAAATCTTTAGACAAGTGAAGCTCTAAATTTCTCCTTTATCAAATGACAAGCAACCTAAATACAAACAACATAATTCTAGGGAGTAAGAATGCATCTCATCCATACACAACATATATGAAGTATAATTGTAGTTACACACATCCACATTATTAATTAATTTGAGATACCCATCAATCCTCATCTACTCATTTAGAACAACAATGGCAATGCATTGATCCATCATCAATAACTAACAAGACATGTACTTCAATCATTCACAATTGTAATTATAAAGACTGTTCAAGATACATGCTCCTAACTCTATATGCATACGGTGGCAAATCTCTTCATCGACGTTTACTTAGAATAGTTGAGGGGCAGTGGAATGAGACCATTCATCTATAGTGATTCCTCATAAACCGTCCTAGGCTCCGGGTGTGCAAAAAAAAAATGATCCCGTTTAAATTTGAAGTCAAACTGCACCATTTAAAAAAAAAAAACAATTTGAAAAATAACAAAACACATTATTTACATAAAATGGATTATAAAAATTGAACTGCATCTGTAATTGGGTTTGGTGTATTGGCACACCACTTTTAAATGATTAAATTAAATTAAATTAAATTAATTTACTTATGTCTCAATGTTTAGAGATTTACAATATCATATTAAATGTTTGAATATTGTTTATGATCATTATGTTTTTGATTTTGCTTTTTTTTTTTTTTAAACTTTTTTATTGTCTTTAACTATTAAAGTAAATGTCAATTATCAAATCATGCTCCATAATTAATTTTTCACATGACAATTATAGTTCTTCAATGCTTTTGAGTTGATCTTTATGGGTTCGTTTATGTAAACTTTTTTTTTTCTTTTAAAAAATGTTTTTAATAAAATAGACAATTTTCTACCCTTTAAGATGTGTTTGTCTATTTAATTAATCTTTGAGTTAAATGTCTAACTAGTAAAATATTTCTAATTTGTTTTTAAAAAGTGCATTAATCATAATTTTTGCTCACAATTCTAAAAGGAAAAAAAATACTATTTTTTCTTAAGAAAATTGGTTTTTAACAGGTTCAATTCTTAAAATTGATTTGAAATAAGTTTGATTCTAAAATCGTTTCTAAACAGTTTTGAACTTGTTTATAAAAGTGATTTCATTTTGAATCGGATTATTGATGTAGTTCAAATGATTCATAAATCGATTCAATTTGATAAAAACGTGCAATATGGCTTGATGTGTTTTTTTTATAAATTTAACCATGCACATCACTACCTAACTAGGGTATGTCTATCATAGTCTTGTCAAAGTATTACAGTTTTCCATGGTTACCTCCCATTCCTATTAAAGGTTCTCCACCATAATACCCTTGAGGCATACATAGATGACTTATGATAGTCCATTTGTATAGACTCACATTATCCTGCGAATAAAGTATGTATGCATGGACTCAACAATCATATCTCAACATTACATGTATGCAACTACCATTTTCTCATTTGTCAGTCAACAACACTAGACTTAACTATCACATCTCATCACATTACTCATAGTAATTCATCAAATCATGGCTCAGTATAACTTTTCATACAACAAAATTTATACATACACACACAAGATTACACCATTCAATTAACTTCTTATATGTTATGAACTCATTGCTTTCATCCTATTAATTTTTAGTGTTAATCCCTCGTCATGGCTTCTCAAGTATTAATTAATTCACACAATTAACCTTATTTGGGAAAATAACATGGTGTTTAGCAAGGTCAAACTCGTGCCCGGTGTTGAGAGGTCAGTTACTTTTATGCCAAACTCATGCTCAATGTGCGATCATTTGTGCTTGACATGGCAAGGTGTAGGACCTTTATCTCAATACCGCCCCACGTGGATATCCCCACACCTAGTGTCGAGGATGTTAGTCACTTAGCCTCAATTAACTTAAGAGGGGGGGGGGGGTGAATTAAGTCTTCTAAATTTTTCTCTTATAAAAACTTTTCCAAATTATTTTCTTATCAATTTATTTCCTTAGACAAATTTGTATGTAAAGAACGAATGATGATGCAAATTACACAACAATTAATAACAAGAAATTAAAAGTGTAGGGTTTTATACTGGTTCGGCCAATCTTGCCTACATCCAGTCCTCAAGTCTCTCACTTGAGATTTCCACTACTCTTGTAAACCTTACAAGACTTGAATACTCCAACACCTCGGAACTCCCTTTCCTTGTGTTGAGATTCAAACACCAACAAGGAGAAAAACCCTTTCTCCTTTACAGATTTAATGATCTATTGAATTTTACAGAATGATTCTCTTGAAGAGTGGATATTACACTTTTATGATCTTAAAGAACTCTTTTAGAGATTTTACAAATGACTTTGGTCAAGTAGATTTTGTAAATGATTTTCACAATAGAGTTCGTCACTTTTCTCTGAAAAATTATAGGTATTTATAGACAATTGTTTCTTGGGTTATGTCTTTTCATGAAGAGTTATAACTCTCTATAATTTTTCAGAAAATAGGCTTTGGTATTCGATTACAAGACTTGGTAATCGATTACAACGGTTTAAGTTTAAAATGTTTGAAACGTTGTATAATTTAAATTCAAATTTTGAAATTTAACTTCTAGTAATGAATTACAATGACTGGTAATCGATTACTAGAGAGCATTTAACATTTCAATTTTGAACAGAGAAGTTTTCATCCTCTGGTAATCGATTACATGCCCTGGTAATCGATTACCAGATTGATAATACCAAAATTAGCTTTATGAAAACTTAAGATATAGAAAGCTTTTATTTTCCAGTTAAAAATATTTTTGTTTAATCTTTTGAATACTCTTTTTGCTTTCTTTTCAAACCACTTATTCTTATATTCAAAAAGATTAAGTTTAGATTTTCTTGAAATCCTTATTTTAATGGCCAAGTGAAATTTGCAAATTCTAAAAATTCATTTTATATACTAAGCATTCAAGACACAGATTCATACATATAATACCAAAACCTTGGATACATAAACTCATTACCAAATAGATTTAATCAGATAAATTATTGGTTCGTAAAACAAAGCAATAACATATTCTCAAATTCATATACATCAATACAAATCAAACAAACAACCTCAGAGGTTTAAGGGTCACTTTTGTACAGTTATCCCTCATGTATGTTGATGGATTTAATAATCTCACTCGTCCTATACCTGGAGTGATAATTTCATGATTCTACATGCTTCATATGGCTCTAGTCTCTATTTCTCACTCCCTCTGGTGTTCTTTTCTAGGTTCCTACTCTAGGTTTTCAAAAGATTCATAATAACCTAATCTACTTTATTTTATTTCTTTTAATAAGCCTCCAGGTTGAGTCAACTCAATACTCTCTCCTTTACCACCCCTTAATCTATATATTAGGAACAACCTTTCTCTATATTATAACTCAATTAATCTAAAATGTTTATTTATTTATTTTTAAAATTAACTAGATGTTACAAATGTGACCCGTACAAAGTAAGGTCAATGTTAGTAATTTCATATTTCATAAAAATACAATACTCTCTTGGAATTGAAATATAGGTAAAAAAGAAATGAATCAAACTAAGAAAATTGGTTGACATCATTTAATTTTATTAATCTCATTTAGAACATAATTTTTTTAAATACCCTTTAATAGAGTTTGATATTAATAATAAAAAATGGTAATTGAAAATTGAATATCAATTAAATGAAAATTATTTTGGGAATTACACCTTTAAATGAGGTAAAATTAGTTAAGATTTGTTAATATTTTAATTCAGCCCTTGTGTTTTTTTGTTGCTTGTATTTCAGTCTGGAGTAATCATTTTAGTATTTTACTATTTCTCCAATACTCACAAGATATAATATTGTAAAATTCTTAATTATTTTTTACTGTTGTGATTCTTATTTATCGCTAATCAAATGCTGACACATTTAAAAACATTGTTTGCAAATTTTAGGGGGAAGGTCCAGGAAATGAATCTAAGAAGTGGCAAGAATTATTCGAGGCTGCGCACTCACGCTAACTGGACTACCAATAAACTTTTAAAGCATTTCAAGCCATGTGTATTATAAGAAATCTGAAATGTGATTTAAGTTACTCTAATTTGTTGAGGCCAAAACTCATATCAGAAAGAATAAGAGATGGCTTTCTGCTTATGGCGAAAACCGTTTATAGCCCTTTTTATTCCAACTAGCAATTTTCAATTCAGGTACATGTCCCGATTAAGGTGATTAAGGTGGGAATTAGATGAGAAGACTACTTAGAATTATATTAAGATGGGATTGAAGTAGTTTATATTCTTAACTGGCAATACATCTTCATAAATGAGCTACGTGCATGTAAAGTACAAAAGATACATGAAATCATATACAATATTAGTCAAAGTTTAATTTTACATGAATTAATATGCAAAAATTTTCAAGAGTTCATCGATGGTTACTACAAAACAAGTTTCATACATATAGATATTAAAATGAATTGAGTGAACAACACATATATTAATTATAGAAATTATATTCTTTAGTTTCAATATGGTGAAATTACAGTACACAAGGATTATTAAGAGTGATAGAAATATTACATTACACTACACTATACTAAACAAAACTAGCATAAAACTAAGAGAGAAAGAAAAGAAAAAGGAGTGACCAAGAAATCATACTCAGTAGTCTTGTACATGGGAGCCATATATGTGAATAGTAAGTGTCTCTGAGAGTTCATAAGCATGATTTTTTGACCTCTGAAACTAAGCCTGACCTGTCTATTTGTAGAAAGGCCAAGATAGTAGTTGGATTCATCGTGTCATTAGTAACCATCCCATTCTTTGGATTGTGTGTTATCTTTCCAACCGCCTGTATCTTTCTCAATAACCGTCTTTCGATCATCGATCACTTCCTTGAAATGCATAATCATTATTTTTTGAGAGGTGGTTACTATATGCAGGTTCAACATGGATTATAACAATCCTGTCATTTACATCATGTGGGTAACCTTCTTTAAATTATTTGAGATTGCTCCGTGACTATTTGTTCGAGTATCGAAATCTTTCTTTTTGGGCTTGAGAGCTATACTTGTGATATTTTACTCATTCACTATTTCATGTCACAAGTGTGTCTTGTCAGTAAAATTTACCAATCTTAGGTACTTGTTCCTTTCTTTACGCAAGACGGTTCTTTCCATGCTTTTTTGGGTCCTTTTCTGGGTTAGAATAAGAAGTACATCAACACCTTACTCCCTAAAAATGTTTCTACTTTGTTGTTTTTTTATTCTCCTAGGATAAACTTAGCCCTTTTTAATGATACCACCAAGATTTTTAGGGATTTTCCTCCCATTAAGGATAGGCACCTCCAATGGCTTGAACGTGTGGAGGGCTCCATGCGAACTACCTAGATTGGCCTTGTCATATTAGACTTTATTCAGTTGGCTAAGTTTGATTTACACGTCTTCGATCCCCAAATGCTCTAGTCTGCCATTTTCTTCTGGAATAGGGAAACTCAAGCATTTGAGTTTCGTTATGGGTTTGTATGTCCAACTTTGCTAGATATAGCTGTTATTATTGCGTTGCAACCTATATGGTATAGGTTTTAGCCAGATGCATTCGAGGAAGAAATCTCACGCAAGGATACTTCAATCGTTTGCGATAAAAAGACTTACTTGGCTTTTATCAATGCTCATATGGGCAAAGCAAATGCACCAGTTTAGGATTTAGAACATATTTCTTTTCTCATGTATTGACTATCAGCATGCATTTTTTGCACTCCCTCCCTCTAGGTACCTAAATATTATTATACTTTGGCTCAAGCTTTACATTTATAGAAGAAAACTTGCCTAAGTTAGTATTGGCTTCCCTATATACTTGCCTTGATGAGGCCTCAGAGAGTTTTTTTGAGAGCCTGGTCCTTGAAATCTTTATGAGCCGTTATGGTTATGGTAGTTATGGCTTAATGCCATTTTCGAGAAGAAACTTTAACTCATCTCTTCCTAACCTTCTCTCACATACACACTCAAAGGGGCGTAACTACCTACCCTAACTCTCAAGAGACACTTTGTCAACAAGCAGGGAGTATTTCTCGAGAGGCGATTCTCACTTCGAGGAATTTTCTAAAGACTTAGCTCCTTTCACCCATCCAAGTCTGGTGGGCCCTTCTTGGCTTCAGGGTAATAATCAAGCAGGGAGTATTTCTCGAGAGGCGATTGACGAGTGGTTTGGTTTCTTATCTTGGGACATCATCTTATCAGAAATGTAGTAGAAAGATATGACCCTTAACAGCCTCAACTCTTTGCTCGTCAGTTCAGACTCTGTCAAATGAAACCACTTCCCATACGAAGGAAAGAAAAAATTGATGTTGATATCTACGTCGGGAAGGGTGACTACAAGGAAGTCATAAACTTCATCCTTCGTCCTAACAAGCGGCTTTTTATTACCCCCTTTCTATTTCTCTTCTTCTTTTCTTGTGTCAAAGTGTTTTCTCTATTAGTGGTGTGAATATTATACTAATAAAATATTCACTATCGATGATTTCCTACAAAGATTGATCAACTCTCATTTTTCTACATAGGGCCCAAAAATTTCTGGTACTTACAAAAAATTGCAATATTATTCACCAATTCGAGCAATATTTTAAAGTTTTTTTTATCGACCTAATAACTTGTTTTGAATGATTTTTGACGCCTCTATATCTTTTTTGAAAATGTTACGAAGGAACGTTCTTTCTAATAAAGTCATTAACCCTCAAGGAGGAATTGATTTCGAAAAATTTTGCCCTAAAAATATTCCCTATCTTCCAAATGCTCTTTTTGGACTTGTAAATATTTATCTAATCCTCCTTGGGTGAAAAATCTCGATCCCTTATATGAGGAGCGTAAAGCATCCTTGTAAAGAATCGAGTTACCCTTGCAAGATGTTCCATGTATGATTTTCCCAAGGATAAGGGATGGCCTCTGTGTTAGGTCAATAAAAAAGTTGTATATCCTGGTAATGATTTTTTACTTTGGCATCTTTAAATCTGATAAGATGCCCTAGGTTGAAAAGTTGATGAAGGATGCCATGAAATCCTTTTCGAAGATATCTGAATCTCTATATCGATTTTTTAACCATCCTGGGATTTCTAATCATGTCTCCATGCTTCAGGATGATAGGGGCACCCTTAAAATAAGAACTACTCTTGTCAATCCTCGAGAAACATCAAGGGAAAAAATTCAAGAGGTAGGTATCTTTACTAATCCACATATCATAAGGGTTTTTTGTTCGATTACTTTACATCGAATGATTATTGTTCCAACATTTTTTTTCACACTTGTAGGATGTTGATATTATTAACATCTCTTTTTCTCGAGATGTTACCAAACATGTTCAGTAGACGCTTGATCGTCCTTTGGAGGTATGGTTTAATTGAGTAATTCCTGTTTTTAGCTTTAGGGTTGCTAATTTTCTTATCTCTTTTTTTTTTTTCTGCCGGTTATCGCATCGAACTCATAGGTCATTGTTGATGCTGACCCATTGGTGACTTCTATGGGGGTTGAAGCCACCCTTTTTTAATCCTCATAGGGTAATTCCCTTTCTTTCAAGACTAAACCTGAAGTTCCTTCGGGTCGAGGTACTTATTTTACTAATCTTGGCACTTTTGGTGCTTTTGAAAACACGGTGCTTGATTTGACTTGTTCCTTTATAGATGTGGAGTTGGTTTTACCAGACTCAGCTCCACCATTACTCAATCTTCTCGACTAGTCAAGGATGATGTTAGATCCTTCGTGCCTCCACCAACCTCGATACCTTCAGCTGATCTCGACCCCATCAATTTCTTCAATGACAACGTTGATATCAATAATATTTTTTAGGTGTTAGACAATTGGACCATTAGCGCATTGATGTTTGAGAAAACTCCAGATTTCATTATGAGTTTCCAACTATTGCTAGCCTTATTTCGTTCCAAGGCTTATGTAGAAGATCTCGATCAAGCACTCCTTGATTCACATTTCAAGGCCGAGATCGAATAGATGGTTCATGATTTAATGGCCTATCATGATCTCCCTCTTGAAATAAATAACAAATTGTAAGAATTTGTAAAGACTTTCATGCTTGCATTTGAACTTCATGTTAAGTGGGATAGTTCCTTCCAAGAAGTAGCTCAGATTAAGGTGGACACAGAGGGGGATCGAGCTAAACTTGAGTAGCTTAAGTCAGAGTTGCTCTTGATTTGAGGATCTATGGAGCGAATGATACCGACTTTGATGCAACTCTAGAAGGAGGAGGCTGATATTAAGAAAACCATCGAAGCCCTGCAACGAGAACTTGATGAAATTTGGGCCAAACATGCAGCCTTAAAAGCCTAATGTCAAGAAGTGGTTCAGAAACAAAAACGATTGAAGGATGATGGGAAGGAGATTTCATGTTGACTCTTTAAGACCGTAGATGTTAAAAAGAAGTTGGAGACCTAGTGCACTACTCGGAGACAAAGCTTGGATTAGGCCTATGATGGAGGACCATCTTGAAGACACTTGTGGGACCCATCACTAGGTCCATGAGTAGGAGGATAGAAAAGGAGGAGGGAGTTCACACACCAAGAGATACTCTCTTCATGGTCATAGAGTATTAAATACCCTCCTAAGCCTCGTTAATGTAGGATTTATTTTTTTAGTTTATTTCTCATTTTACCCTTGTATTTTGGGGTACACTAGATGATAAGATTTATTTTGTAATTTTCATTTAGCCTTTGTATAATGAGGCAAATTAGGATAGGATTTATTTTTGGGCTTGAACCTTGACTTGTAAGGTCAAAGTCCACCTTTTTTTTTCCTATTTTTAGGTTAAAGGGTATTTTGGTCTTTAAGAGGGAAGGATAACCACACCACATTTAGGGTTAATTTAGGTAGCATTTAGAGTGCATGTGGCTTGCATTTCTCGGCGATGCACCCCTTGTAGCCCTAAATTCCCTTCCTTCCTTCTATAAAAACCCTAGGGTAGCCTTCTTGTAAATACTTTGGATTATTATGACATTGAGTGAGCATTTTATGCCTCAATATCCTATCCTAAGTCCTTAGGCTAGTTTCGGCTACCCTTACTCCTATCTTCACCCTTGGAGAGTGAAAACCCTAGAGTGGCATCCATCTTCATCTTGGAGTGAGCCAACCATCCTTGAGAGCTTCCACCCTCATGCATAAACCTTCATCCATTTGAACGTCCCACCTCCATTGAAAGCTAGATTCTC